TTTATTTTTCAGAAACTATTAGAGACAGAATTTACCAAAAAATGCTTATAACTACTACTTGGGTAAATGAATTTCTAGATATATTACGAATTTTTGAAACTTTAGTTTCGGAGATATTCATTTAATCGGACATTTTTTAAAAAATTAATTTTATTTTTCAGAAACTATTAGAGACAGAGTTTACCAAAAATGCTTTTATAACTACTAGCGGGTAAATGAATTTGTAGATATATTGCAATTTTTCGGAACTTTACTTTCGGAGATATACATTTAATCGGACCCTTTTAAAAAAATTAATTTTATTTTTCAGAAATTATTAGAGACAGAGTTTACCAAAAATGCTTTTTATAATTACTAGTGGGTAAATGAATTTCCTAGATATATTACGAATTTTTTGAAACTTTAGTTTCGAGAATATTCATTTAATCGGACATTTTTTAAAATTAATTTTATTTTTTCAGAAACTATTAGAGACAGAATTTACCAAAATGCTTTTTATAACTACTAGTGGGTAAATGAATTTCTAGATATATTACGAATTTTTTGGAACTTTAGTTTCGGTGATATTCATTTAATCCGACATTTTTTAAAAAAATTATTTAGTTAATTATCGAAATAAATAATTAATTATGATTTAGTTCTTCATTTTCCAAAATCAAAATTCCATAATCCCATATAATTTACAAGCAGTGTGCGAAATAGGCATTTCAGGCATTACTTCACGTGTACCGTGTCATGGTAACGTAGGAACATGAAAAAAGGGCCACTTCGCACATTGCTATCAATTCGCGAACCTTGTCATTTTTTGACGTTTGTAGAAAAAAGTACATTTCAATGCCTTTCCGAATAAAATGATGAATTAATTTAACAAGTTTAAGTTTAAATGTGTACATTGGGAACCTTATTTGTGGACAGCTACAATATCAGATGTGTCTAGTTTAATTTGGAGGAACATCATCAAAAAACTATACGATTTATGATTTAAACCAAAAATGTCTGCCAAAACCAGATGGCTGTGGTTAATTTTAATTGTTAGATTTTAATTTAAGCTACTGACAAAATAATATGTTGTTTTGAATTATTGTTAATAAAATTTAAAAAAAAATAGAAATGCTATAAAAACACATCTTTTTAAAGTTTGCATTTTTTTAAAGCAGATATTGACATATAAACCGAAATCTACTAAAGCTACTTTTTTACCATTCACTTTTACTACAGGGTGTTTAGTTTTTAATGGTAAAAAGTAGTTTGTGTTTTCCCATATTATACATCAAGCAATCAGGTTTTTTGAGAAGTGGAGTTCAGAATAATAGTGCAAGACACATTTCTCCACATCACAAATTGTTTGACCAATATCTATAAATATACACGGCTGTCATTCTGACGAAAGTTAACTAAGTGTACAATTGATTGTCAAAAAGTGTTTTTATAGATAACGAAAGAAATGTGTAATATGTTAATACTTCACTAGTTTATGTTGATAATAATACTGATATACACAACCAATCTTGTACTTACTTAAACTTATATCCGCTAAATCCATCATTATCGGCTTCATATTTCACAATCGTTGCATCCCTCGAGCTTTGCTGAGGAGCAGCAAACACAGCTGTCAATCCCAATGCAAGTAAGAAATCTTTAAAATAATACAAAATATGTCAATGATTTCCTTAAAAATAACTAATTTAAATTTTAGCAAATTGATTTATTGATTTTTAAAAACCTGCAATGCACTTACAAATTTCATTGTGATTATTTGCACAACCGCTTGCAATTACGTATAAAAAGATGTGACATTTTCTTCCTCAGTTGACTATTTATACAATTATTAATAAGTGTCTTCCTCTCTCCCACTATAAAACTCTATAAATATCGCCGATAAAGTGTTCATTATTCACGAAAAAATGTGTTTCTTGGCATATTTAAATGGTACTCTCCTATAGCCATTTTCTTTGAGTAAAGGTGAGCTTCATGATATGTTGCCCACGATTAAGTCTGTCTTCGCGTCCTTGCCGTTGCGCAATGTGCCATCTCGGAAAATGATATTCGAAGGAAAATGTCCCAGGGCTTACCTTGACATCTTCATTGATAAACCTAATTGGGTATATGATGCTAATATGATTACTTTTTATTATTGTCTTTTTTACAATTGTTTTTTTTTAATTATAAGAAATTAAATATAGCGAATATAGAGGGTGTTTTAGAAAACTAAAGGAACGTACAAGGGAAAACCTGTGCAAAATTCAGAGACTGGTAACTGCATCACAAGGGGCTTGAGAATCTGCCCAACAGCAGCAATGGAGGTCATTCTAGACCTAAAACCACTGCGCCTTGTTATTGCTAAATATGCCAATGCGACAATAATTATTATAAAGGTCATTGACGGAAATAGTACTGGGTGAATTGTCAGCTCAGGAGCTTGGAACATCCTCAAAAAGAAAATTCCACTTCTCTAACTCCCAGTGGATGGACCATCAATGGTACGGTGGAACGGTATACCATAACTTGGTATACCGATACAAGAAACATATATACCTGGGCATACGAAGCTTTGAGCTTTAAGCTGAAGCTGAAACTTTAAGCTGAGCATTTGAGAAGAACTATTGGAATATGTAGCGGAATTTGATTACCTCGGCGCGGCAATTTGATTTCGCAAAAGGCCAATATCGACTCTGAAATTCAGTACAGAATTATCATCGCCTTAAGAGCATTCTGAAAATTAAAAGAGGGGTTTTCTACAATCATGACTTAAGAGCTAAACCTGGGTGCCTTACCGCCGACACACGAACTCATTAAACAAGTTGCAACAGAGACACCTAAGACAATAATTGTTAAGAGTTGAATGGTATCACCATGTCTCAAACGTATCAGTCCTTGAAAAAGCCTGCTGCAAGAGCGCTGAGGTAATGGTTACTAAATCCCGCTTAAGATGGGCTGGCCACGTATGCAGGATGCAAGAAAACCACCTACCGAAATATCTACTTTACGGTGAACTTGTAGAGGGTCAATGGAAACCGGGTGGATAACTAAAAAGGATATTTTCCATGAAAACTTAAAGGGGATAAACATGCAGAATCGGTGGGAAGAAACATCGGCGCACAATAGAACGCAATGGAGAAGAATCGTATACTCAGTCAACAACGACGACCAAAAAGTAAAGAGACAACAAAGTAATGAGATTTTTGAATTTCCGGCGTGCGCAAGAGAGATAACATCACGTATCGGACTTTTCAGTCACCGAAAAGCTCATGAAAGAAAACGCCTTGCGAAACCATCTTCTGATGCGTGTCAAATACTCGTAAGCGAGTAATGGCAGTAAGTAAGTATACCGATGCTTCCAAAACCAAAACAAGAACAGGGATAGGAATATTTGGGCCGAAAACTAAATACTCAGAACCAATGCATACCTACCCCTGCATCCTTCAGGGAGAAATCTACGGTATCGAAAAATGCGTATAACTTATCTTAGATCGGAAATATGAAATAGCCATCTTATCAGATAGTCAAGCAGCCATAAGAGCGACTGACTCAATAACCATCAATTCGAAGTTGTCCAAAGACTGCCTAGAGAAGATGTTTTTTAGAGGAAGGGACAATAGAGAAACACAAATGTAGGTAGAAGCTCTCAAAATTTAAATCAGAAAAATAAATTTGTATTTAATTTTTTTTTGTTTTTATTTAAATCAGGGAAAATCTTTAACTATTATCTCTACAATTTCATTCTATTTACAACAAATTAAAACTAAAATTCAAATTTTGTTAACTGGTTTAGCAGACAAGAAATTTTGATAATCATTACTTTTTGTCATGGCAACCATGATGTTATAGTAATTGCATTAAAAATATGAGAGTAAAAATAGAAAAATTCTTTTGAATAATTTTGCAACTATTAAAAATCGTATATGAAATACCCACTAAAAGTTGAAGAGTCTTGTAAAATCTTATCAGAAAAATGATAATATATAGGGTGTACCCATTTAAAAAAAATTTTAATTTCTAAACAAAAAAAAAAATTCAAAAAATATATTTGAACACCCTTGTAGTATCTAACTAAAATATCTTTACGCAGATCTTTCTATATATCTACAAAATTATCCTACCAAATTTGAGTTGTCCAACTTCAGAAACAATGCCATCACTGACAATTTTTTATCGCACTGCAATCTAACATTTGTTTTAAACAAACTCTAAATATTACAAAACTATTAATTTTAAGCATATAACATGTTATATAAAAACGTTATGGAATTTTACGCAGAATCCAAAATAAAATAAAAAAATAGGGTGGGTTCCATTTAAAAAAAACATATGCTATAGCCGCCACACTTTCTTGAAGCAATCTGTATAATTTTATAATAATTTTAAAATGTGTATCTTAACCGTCACTATAACTTTTATATTTAATATTTTTTGTAAACCCTCCAAACAAATGGAGATAATGAACTTGCACTTAGTTGACTCACCCTGTACATAATAAGCCGTGACGTGCAATGTGTAAATTTTCAACATTAAAAGTATATAGCAAAGAAAATATTAAACTTTTATTTCAAAATTGGGAACCAATTTACGATAAAGTCATAAACACAACGAATTTGAATAGCAATACGTAACTGAACGAAGTAATAACAAGGTTCTAAAAGAACAGTGTTCGACTGCAAGGTCCGCTAGTAAAAATTTTCAAGCTTAAAGTGTCGCAGCATAACATTTAAACCAAAAATTCCTAATACAAAACTAAAGTGTCAAAATGAATAACAATGTCAGGAAATAAATAAATAAATGTGGCAACTTGACATTTTTTACAGCAGAAGTACTACCCCAATCCCCATCGGGAAAATTAAATTCCAGTTAGTCAGTCCGGCGCCGAATATGTCCATGGTTCGCAACAATCAATTTAGAAATCGCGCCCTCGATTACGTAACTAAAAGTTTAATTGGTATCGCTTTTATGTAAAAATTTGTTCGAATTAAGAAATAAGTGTTTTTTACATATTTTTTAGTTACCAGAAGAAACAGATAGTTTGAAACCGGTAATGGTATGGATTCATGGTGGGGGTTTTGTTAGTGGATCCAGTTCAACCCAACTTTATGGTCCAGAGTTTTTGCTTACTCAAGATGTAGTTCTTGTAACCATTAACTACCGACTAGGAATATTTGGTAATAATTTATTTCTGCTTCATATTTTGTTTCTATTAGGTATCTTTTCAAAATCTTGAATTATTACATTGATGTGACGTTTCCTTACAAAGTTAATAATAATAATAGCTCCAGTTTATATCGTTTAACGCCTTGGGAGTAGCAAAGTACAGCTTACCATGCTATAGTCTATAAAATAAATAACTTTGAATTTTGACAGTTATTTTTTACCAACATGGCAAATATAAAATACCTCTGTCCAAAAAGTTACTGATATTCTTTAAATTGAGTGCCTTAACGAATCAGATAGGTAACTCTTCGTGAAATAGAAAAGGAAAATAATAAAACAAGTGACAGTTCTTCCTCTTCTTGCAAAAATCAACACGAAATGTTATAATTGTCAAAAGTAAAATGTCATCAACTTTTGAGATTTCTAAATATCATACCAATGCCGTCTCTAATAGAACAGCCTCGGAGCGAGATTTATGACATCACACTAGTTAGATACTACGGATTAATAAATATGTTGTAGAATACATGGAAAACATAATTATTCCTCGTATATTTGGTTTGAATTTTAAAAATGATATAGCTTTCATGAAATATACATAATATACAGTTAATAAATACAATATATATACCAATTTATAGTAATAAATACTTTGGCAAATAAACTACGAACCTAACAAATGCAATTTGGGGTTTGAAAATCGATCTAATTTAACAAAAAACTTAATATCTACTAATTGTGATGTATTGTTATTAATGTTCAAAAAATTATATTTGCAAATAATATACTACCATAGAAAAAAATGCGTCAGCGATGACTATGAAATAAAGATCGCTGTCATTTTATACGTACAATTATTCTAAAATTTTTGATTTTCTTGGGATTTAGGTTCGGGAAAAACGCTGATAAGGTAATTAATATAGATAAGTTTTCATTTAGTTTTTCATTATTTTTATTTGGTTTCGGCTAACATTATAGCCTTTATCAGTGTTGTGTCATATGAAAAAAATAGTGTCGAATATAATCCAAAAAATTACATATAAAATATTCACACCACACACCACATAATGTTTACTACAATTAATAAACTAATATAAACTTGTTAAAAGATTACCACATATATTTTAAAATTATTATTCTTAACACTAAAACTATCTACATTGACTATGGAGTACGATTTCAGCCATATTGTAAAACATTTGCTGCATTTGTATGGTTCATAGTTTATTTGCCAAAGTTATTTATTACTATAAATATGTATATATATATATATATATATATATATATATATTGTATTTATTACCTTTACATTATGTATATTTCATGTAAACTATATCATTTTTAAAATACAAACCAAAAATACGAGGAATAATTATGTATTCCATGTATTCTACAACATAATGTTTATTAATCCGTAGTATCTAACTAGCGTGACGTCATAAATCTCGCCGTGGGGCTGTTCTATTAGAGACGGCATTGCGTCAGCATGGCCGCAAGTTGCTAACCTAATAAAATTAACACTAGAAAAGCCCGCGAGAACTGTCAAATTCAAAGTTATTCGTTTTACAGACCCGTACCCGTTCCCGCTTCAACCGCCTAATATTACCTCAGGATTGTGAATCCCAAGTCCAAGTACTCATTTACAGTACGTCTGTCTGTTCTGTACCTACGGGGTATCCGTGAGAGAGGAAACGATATTCTCTCGATGTTTTTCGTAAAAAAATAGACGACGCGTCCCATCAATAAAAATTCAAAAAATTTGCAAGTAGCCAATAAAATGAGTGGGCCGAGCGATTTGCGGTGACGCACTCGTCAAATCGACGTATAAAATATATTGCTGTTTATTTAAATGTTTTTTGTCCGCATTCCTTTCATAGACACAGATCCAGCAGATGTACTGTAAGACTGAGTCGACCAAGGTGCCCGGTAGTGTAGAGGTACAGCTCTTGTCTACTAATCTAAAGGTTGTGGGTTCGAATCCTACAGCGGGCAGTTCATCAGCCGACTATTTTGATTATAATAAAAATAGTTTTGGGTACCTAGGTCCTTACAAGTTATCTGGTCCTATAAATTACCCGAAAATTACAAAATTAAAAATATTTGGATTAGAAAATTGATATTTGATAGTGAAATGGCGCTAGTGAAATCGAGTTTTTAGATAGAATTCTTATTTGGAGATGTCACCTACAGAGTGTTCAAAGAACTACATTAAAATTCATATTATCATTATTAATTTCATCCACCTAATACTTTATATTTTTTTCGAATTGAAGGTTTCCTGCGTATAAAAGATCCAAAGTTTCACATAAGTGGAAATATGGGTTTTAAGGACCAGGTAGCTGCACTGAGATGGGTGAAGAACAATATAATTCAATTTAATGGCGACCCAAACAATATCACTCTGTTTGGCGAAAGCGCTGGTTCAGCTTCGGTTCACCTTCACATTTTGTCTCCACTTTCCAGGTAAAAAAACTATTAGTTGTTTTAATGGTTGTAAATTGGTTGTAAACTTACTTCTCTGACTTCTCGGACCTTTATTGTCACATTCTCGTTCAACATAGTTTATCAGGGAAGCTACAAGCTCTTTGCGTCGGCTGTTTAAATGCTTCGGCATATTTTCAACACACAGTTGCAAGAAATGCAATACAAAAACTCCAAAATTTAGTTATTAAAAGAACTGTTTATGCTTAAGAGCACAATTTAAAAAAAAAGACTACGAAAATAGGCAAAAACGAGAATTACTCACAATGATTCAACAACACAATATTATACAAAATAATGACTGACATTAGGATAATTGTCAAAATAATAATCGACAACCTTGCTGAAAACGGCGCAATGTGACCAACATAGCGATAATAAAATTCGGTTTAAACTAATTTTTGCAGATTTAATCTAATGATTGTAACAGATATTTTATATCTGTTACAATCATTTGTTCTATAAAGTAAAATGAAGAGCTATCTTAAATTATGCAACAAATTTAAACATTTTTGCCAAAATTTCATTTAGTCACGTTTATAGACTTTAGTGTCAATGTAGATATGATTGATGACGTGCATCGGAATGTGTTTTGCGATTACAATAGGTACCTTTTTTTTAATTGTTAATATTCATTTTCTATACATTTCTATACCCTACTTTAAAATACTTAAAAGATATCTTTAGTCTACTGACGGCTTTAGAAACACATCAAAATACTCTTTTTATTGTGAAAAGTTGAAAAATTACAACTTTCCTTTATATACAGGGTGGTCCGAATTGTATTCCGGAAACTTCGGGAGCATATTCTGCAGATAAAAAGAAGTAAAGAACTTCTTATAAATGTATGTCCTAAAATGCTTAGTTTCGGAGATACAGGGTGTAGAAATTTCATTTTAATTTCAATGTTTTCCAAATAATTTCTGAAGTAACGTCAATATTTGGATGAAAATTGGTGTTTGTTTTTTGACATGAGAAATTTGATTTTGGTGATTAATATGACTCCTATTTGTAGAGGGCGCCACCTACATGTGTTTTAACTGTTTTGAAGAATAATAACTTTTTGTCCGTACCTGTATAGAACTGCTGAGTGAAAAAATATACATTTTCGTATTTTTTTACGTAAAAAATGTCTCTTGGTAAAAATCGTTACGAGCAATCCTTCTCGAGATATTTAGAATGGGAATAGTCAATACATGTCATTATTGACAAAAATTAAGCATGTTGAGTAGATAGATATTTGACTAAAAAGATAAATTTGAAAAAAAATTATTTTTTTAAATTAATCATAAAATTTTCTTCGAAAAAATGATAATTGATGATGGTTTGGCACAAAAACATTTCAAAATTATCATTTTCGTCTATTAACTATTTAGTCAACATGTTTATATAATTTATGTCAATGATGACAGGTATTGATAATTTCGATTTCAAATATCTTGAGAACTATTACTCGTAGCGATTTTTACCAAGAGACTTTTTTTACGTTAAAAACGTCGTTAATGTATATTTTTTTTACCTAGTAGTTTTATACAGGTACGGACGAAAAGTTATTACTCTTCAAACCAGTTAAAAATATGTAGGTGGCGCCCTCTACAAGTAGGAGTCATATTGACATCAAAATCGAATTTCTCCTATCAAAAAAACTCCCAGACACCAATTTTCATCCAAATATTGATGTTACTTCAAAAATTATTTGGAAAAAATTGAAATAAAAATGAAACTTCTACACCCTGTATCTCCGAAACTAAGCATTTTAGGACATACATTTTTAAGAACTTTTTTACTTATTTTTATCTGCAGAATATGCTACTGAAGTTTCCGGAATCCAATTTTGACCACGCTGTATACCTTCATTTATAAAACTCTGTATCCTGATACATGAAAATTTAAAAGAAAATACGTTTCTTCTTTCATATCAAATATTTAATAGTAAATTATTTAATTAAACTTATTTTTTATTTAATCCTAGCAATCTATTTCACAAAGCAATACTTCAGAGCGGATCTGCTCTAAACCCTTGGTCTGAAGAATGCAATCACAACGCTGTAACCATTGCTAGGTTAGCTAATAAGAGCGTAGACACAGAAAAAGAAGCTGTGGAGTACCTTCGAGGCATTTCTGTAGAAGAACTGTTTGCTTTACAAACTACAACAATAGCAGTAACGTATATTTATTTACCTATTTATTAGATTAATATGTTTAATACCGTATGATCGAGAAAAAACGGCGTCAACGATGGCTATGAAATGAAGATCGCTGTCATTTTATATGTAAATTTATATGGGAAATGTCATTGATCGTCATTTCCCAGCCAACTGGACGCCGTTTTTTTTCGATCATACGGTACAAGGAATAAGGGGTATGTGAATATCTTCTGACAAGCACAATGTCTATCATACGATCGAAATAGAAAACGGCATCTAGTTGGCTTTGAAATTATTATCAATGACATTTTTCATATAAATTTATATATAAAATGAGAGCGATCCTCATTTCCAACTCAACTCTGATGCAGGCTTTTTTAATTGTATGGTATATAGAATAAAAAAGTTTACTTCTTTTAAGCTTCATTCAGAACCTCGCAATTAGTGGAATAATTTTCAATATTTGGCTTATAAAACAATAAACTTTTGATTTCTAACCACAACTTCTCTTGACGGAACATAATCAAAAGCCAAAATGATATTTCTCGCAAATTTTAAACTATAATTAGTGGAAAAGTAAAAAGTCTGATATCTTTTTCCACTAATTGAAAGTTCCTGCCACTAATTTTAACGTTCTGAATCATAGACTTAAAATAAAATATAGACTGAGCATCTCATTCATAAATAGCTGGAACATGGGGTCAGACAATGTCTTGTTATTGTTGTGTTATTGTTTTAGGTTATAACGAGTTCGACACGAGCGATAGATAGGTTGTCTCTGTCGTAACGGTCGTTCCCTGACTTGACTCTGCCGAGAAACACAACACTGTCTTTCGTTTCTCAAGTACACCTGAACTCTCCCGTATCATAGCCGGGTTATTTTTTATTTTAATGAAGCTATAATTAAATTAAAAATATATCGTATTTAAACTTTTTATATTTTATTAAGATTTAGGACCAGGTTTTTAAATAAAAATTTAGAAAAAAACGTTTTAGAGTCCAAAAAGGATAAAAATAATAAAATACACGTTATAGAAGAAATTTTATAATCGAAATACGTAATTTTTGAAATTAATAATAATAATTATTAATTTTAGTCAAACATTACAACCCTAATATTAATCAAAACAGGATCTATTCCACAGATATAATAGAATCAGCGACAGGAGAGAAAAAAAAAAATATGATTGGTGTAATTTTTTTCTGGTTAAGTGATGTCTTATTATGTAAATTAGAGAAAACATAAATCTGTTCCATTAAAGCAAGGAAGGTGATAGGAAGAGGATAAAATAAAAACTACATTTATTTAACTCGGTACTGTCTTTATTATACCGGGTGCGTCCCAAAAGTGGCTTATCCCCATAATTTTTTTATATTTTCAAATAAAAAAACAAGATTTAGTATGTTCGTATATGACATAAATTAGGATTGATTGACGTTTCAATGTTTTTGGTCACTTCCTGTTTTACCGGAAATAACTATAACTTTTAATTTTTAATCTGCACCCGCAGTATATTTCTACTTTATTCGATAGAAAATGACACTCTGAATAGAATGACATATCATATGTCAACTTTTGACATTTTCGCATATGGTTTAATTGTAATTGTAACACGCGGTTCATAACGACAATTTGACTCGAAATACCAAGTGTGTGTGGTATCAATATATTCATAAAAAATTGCTTTTTCCAAATATCCTAATGAGTCACCCTTGTTCCATTTGAAAAAATTGACATATGTATGATTAAAAATACGATTTGTACATCTTTTAACCGGCTTAGACACGACACGAAACCTATTAGACGATCAAAACTATTTTTCCAAGGCTCTTTGATTAAAACTTAGTGGCACCCTGGATTGAAATTTAAAATACGATTTGTTTTTAAGCGACAATGTCAAAAGTTGACATATGATATGTCATTCTATTCAGAGTGTCATTTTTTATCGAATAAAGTAGCAAAATACCGAGGGTGCCTTTAAAAAACAAAAGATGTAATCATTTCGGTGAAACAGGAAGAGACCAAAAACAATTGAATATGTCAATAAGTCTAAATTTATGTCATATACCTACTAACATACAAATCTGTTTTTATCTGAAAAAAATAAAAAGTTATAGAGAGTGAGCCACTTTGAGACTGACTTGGTATATTAAAAATATTGTTTCATAACGTAATATAATTTTAAAATTCTTGTATGTTATTTTAGATTCTGAAGATAATTTTAGAATAAACCGGAATATATTTTTAATAAAAACATGATTAATTATTAACAGGGTTTTAATTATGATTTTGTTACAATGTAAGTAAGTAAATAATGTAATGTAAGAGAAAAAATTCAGATTTTACATTTTACTAAAATATTATCTAAATAATCGCCTTTCTACAACAACGCCACTGACTCCCAATGGGTAAATTGAGAGTTGCCTACCCGTCGAAAGCCGTTTCAAGACTTAAATGAATTATTTAAGTCAAATTTCTTGCAAATTTGGCACTGGCGAACCATATTTTATAGTTCTTGAACAGAAAAAGTCAATAAAATAAACACTTAAGGACTACAAGCTAAGAAAATGCGTTAATACAGCCGGGGACATAGCGGCAACAAAGCTTTACCGCACACGTGCGACGCGTACTACAAGGTAATAAATGAATGAATAGGCTCCCTCGCCTCTAATCGGTGTTGTCATATTGTAAAGAAGTTATCCTTTTTAAACAGTATCCGACTTATAATTTAGTTGTATAAGGACTATTTTTAATACATCTATGGAATATTAAAATCTACTTTATTAAACTGTAGTATTAATATCTCAATATATGTGTATAACAAGAAAAAAAAATATTGATAATATTAAAGACGTGACAACATAGGCTGGATGTGACGATGGATGGCTCGGTCGACTGTACCCAGAAGTAAACATGTGTACAAAAAAGATTGTTTGACCGCGTTGAGATGTAAATAGTGTAGTCTATATTTTATTTTAAGTCTATGTTCTGAATGCTTATATTCAAATTAAGGGAACACACACTTCTTCGCTAATTGAAACTAAACACTAACTAACACTGAACACTAATTTATTCCAGTAATTTCGAGGTTCTGAATGAAGCTTAACAATTTTAAGATTATATAATTTACTTCACATAGAAGATCCTTTATATACAGTGTGTAAAAAATGTACACTGTTATTGCAAGCATATTCTATAAAAATTATTTGAGGAAAAAATAAAAAGGTCTAGATATAGAACTTTTCGGTTCACTGGAACTTTTAGCTTGATATTATTTTCTATAATTTAGTAACAAAAAAGATATTATACAGGATGGTCCGAACTGTATTCTCTAAACTTCGGCAGCATATTCTGCTGATAAAATAATTAAAAATTCGTATAAATGTATTATGTCTAAAATGCTTCGTTTCGGGGGATACAGGGTGAAGAAGTTTCATTTTTATTTCGATTTTTTCCTAATAATTGTTGAACTAAATTCGGTATTTGGATGAAAATTAGTTCTGGGTTTTTTTAACATGAGAAATTTGATTAATATAACTTCTACCAGTAGGGGGCGCCACCTGCATATTTTTTAGTTGTTTTGGGGAGTAATAACTTTTCGTCCGTCCTTGTCTTACACTACTGAGTGAAAAAATATACATTTGTACCTGTTTCTGCTTAAAAAATATCTCTTGGTAAAAATTGCTTCTCGAGATATTGGGATTCTTAATAATCAATACATATCATTAATAAAAAAAAATAATTGAAGACATGAGTCGATAAAGGTGTTATGTCGTATTTTTTTAAAAATCAGTTGTATTCAGTATTTCAACATCCCTTTGACAGATCTATCCTCCAATGGACTTTAAATATCAAATATAAATACCATAAAGAATATCCTAGGTGATAGAGGTATCATGTCACATACACCATCAATAATTTTTAGACGTGTTTTGACGATTTACTCGAAACTTTAAAAAAGCGACACGTAATTTTACGTAAGAGATATCATGGTAAAAATTATAACAAATAACTATTATAAAGATGTTCGGAAATTTTTTTAAGTCGTTTTAGGGACAAAAATTTTAGGAAACTTTATGATAACATGATTTCGGCAGAACCTTCAGCATTAACTCGTTTTAACGGAAATACGATTTTTCAAACATTACGAAATTTCGAGAAAATTGACAGTGGGGTATTAAAACAGATTTTCTTGAACCTTTGGCACCAGAACGTTTCGAAAATTATCAATTTACTCAAATATCTACCTGGTGAACATTTTTAATTTTTGTAATTGATGGCCATGTATTGAGTATTAAGAATCCAAATATCTTGTGAACGGTTGGTCGCAGCGATTCTTACCAAGAGACATTTTTTACGTAAAATAAGACGTAAATGTATATTTTTTCCACTCAGTAGTGTAATACAGGGACGGATGAAAAGTTATTACTCTTCAAAATAGTAAAAAAAACATGTAGGCACCACCCCCTACAAGTAGGAGTCACATTGACATCGAAATAAGATTTCTGATGTTAAAAAAACCCAGATATCAATTTTCATGCAAGTGTCGACATTAGTTCAAAAATTATTTCAAAAAAATCCAAATAATAATAAAACTTCTACACCCAGTAACTAAGCATTTTAGGACATACATTTATACGAACTTTTTTACTTATTTTTATCTGCAGAATATGCTACCGAAGTTTCCTGAATACAGTTCGGACCACCCTGTATATTGATTTTATTGCTTGAGAGACATATTAATAGTAGTATTTAATCATCAGCAATGTAACTGAAACAGGTAAATAATTACAGAAGGCAGAGCCAGGTTCAATATGGCCATTCGGTTTGGCAATCGAGGATAGCTCAAACAGAGGTGCCTTTATGTCAAGAAGACCTATAGATATTATTACCTCAGGGGATTACAACAAGGTCCCTATTATTTTCGGATATAATAGTAGAGAAGGTATGTATGTATATTAGAGAAAGGTTTAGTTATCTATGCCATTTTAACTCTTTATTCTTAACTCTAGTTCTTTATTCTTCAAACATTTGTTTCAATTAATTGTATTTTATAAAAAATAACAGTGGCACTGCTTATTTAGATATGTTTTTTATAATTATATAGTAATAATAAATGAATTTCGAATTTATATTGTCCGTAGATGAGTATTTACCGAGGGGTGTCTCACTACTGGAATTACTGCCATATAATAATTACAAGGCAGTCATAGGCAGTCTTCTTCGCAGTCATTGGCAGTCGCTTGGCATTAAGATGATATTTGGGCAGTACATGTACATTTTTTACCCAAATGAGACACCCCTCGGTATTTACAGAGGTACTTACTTACCAACACTCTCCCAAACTAATAAACACTAGAGCTGAACACTTACCTAGAAACGAAAAACAATAATTAAACCTTTTTAAAATACCCAATAAATTTTTTTATCTAAATACACATACAGGGTGTCCTACTTAAGATGGATACAAGCCAATATATTGGTTGTTTGTTGAGAGATCTTTTTCATTTTTGGCAGGAGGCTGTATGGCTATAAGACGTACATTTTGCCCAGGGTAAGAAATGCGATACCTCATAGACGTACGTTTTAATGGGGTTTGATATTTTTCGAGTCAAGAGTAAACTACCCTTAGGACAGAATTTATTTCAAATCTGATAAATTATATTGAATCCTCCTTATCTAAGATACTTAAGTTCTAATTTTGATAAATATTGATACAGGGTGTGTCATTAATATAAGACATTTTTATTTTTATTATTATTTTTTTAAGTACTTACGACGCCACTGGATATAAACAACTGGTTTATTATCATTTACGACATCTTAAGTGGGACACCCTGTATATGTTCATATCAAATAAACTTTTAGTAACGTGATTAAGCTTCGCCGGCACATCGTTGCCCACTTTTACATATTTTCTTTTAATCAAAATATTTTAGGAAACAAATAAATTAATTATAAATATATAAACAGTTATTATTTACATCAACAAAACTCACCTCCTTAACTTTTCTACCGCTTTCCCGTTCAAAATATTCTAATAGAGTTGTGATAAGTTTTTGTACGGCTATTAAGATATCTTCCCATACAGCACATCAAATCACATTTACGATGTGTTTACATTATTAGATGTAGACACAGGGTGACACAATTCCCCCGATGTAAATATGCTACGTTTACACATTTTAGTTCAACACGTATGCGCAAAGGTTAAACGTCCGCCTCACAATGTAGCCAGTATAGCATTTACGTATACAGAAAATAAGGGATACACAGTGTGCCGTAGGATACACAGTACTTGTGTATTACGTTTAAACTCTGTTTACACATTGCAGTTGTGACTACCGCGTGTATACGTATATATTTTGCTTCGTATATACATCTTGTGCTAGATAAAACTACTTCTTATCAACGAATTTAGGAAATAATACAAGTTTTGATGCCTAATTTTTCGTTCTTTTTAAGAAATATTTATTCAATGATACCAATTATATCTTTAAAACTTTGTATTTTCCAAAAGTATCTCGATCGTAAGTTCATGAGAAGTAGCCTTAAAATTGTTCCATTTTTGTTTTGTATTAAATGTACCATTTTTCCTCCATAAAATGGATTCAGTGATTAAAAAATAAAATTCTTATATTTCTTTATATCATAGAGCGCAATTGAGCAAATAACACAATAATAATAATTATTTACACTGCAGAAACCAGAAGTAAGAAAACACTGTAAAAGAATAGAATTTGTATCAAAATGTATTAAAAATATAAGTACCTAGCATAACAACATACTAAAATATACACTGGTATATCGCCACGATATGGTGGACCTCATTTTTTATAGTTTAGTCATCTTTTTCTCCTCTTTTCCCTCCAAACAGTTGTTTTGTTAGCATACCCAATCATCGAGCACTCTGTTGGACTTTGTTGTATTTTATTTCCAGATTAACAATATCACCCTTAAATTTTATATGAAACTGATTATTGAATATTAAACATACCTGTATATTGATCCATCAATAACTTACCGAATATCAGTGTAAGAAGTTCTTTGAAGTGTTTAAATCTTTCTTTCTCTGGTCCATTTAGATTTTTATTATGTTCAAATTAAAAAAAAATATATTGCAGAGCTCACCTCTTTATCATTATACGAGAATATTTGGAGTTTTCATTCATTGGAGTCAAAATTTGGTAAATTAGGTATTGAGCGAGGTATCGAGTAAGGGAAGAGTCGCTGCTGTAATATTAATAATACTCTTAGGAAGGTGTAACAAGGTTATTAAAAACTTGTGCTTACCTTAAAATTTCTTTTAAACTACACACAAACAGAACATTTATATAGAGCTTCCGAATGATAAAACAATAATGGCTGCTAACACATAACACTCATAGAAAGGAGAAAGGAGAGAGGACACATAAGATACACTTGGTCGGTGTATCTACGCTGAGGCCATCCGCGCGTGCGCACTCCTTCATTTCATGCTAGAATGTAAACACAACAGTACACTATTAGACAGTGTCTATATAGATATTTATATTATGTGTATACGTCACATTTTTACAAGGTGTGTACTATAGGCACAACTATGATACGAAGTATCACACACACATATGACTTACACATTGTATGTCTCATATACCGACTTCAGATTTCAGCATTTTAATAATTATTTGTTACGTTACAAAAAACTCTTTAGAATCTTGAGTGCATACGGTATACAACTAGTAAACACTGTATCACACAATTATATCAATATAAACCTGCGTGTATCTCATATGTATATGTTAGAACTAGATGAACATTTAGGTTCACTTTAACATATTTTGTTTCTCATGTGTCTCCCTTGTAGAAACGTAATTTCATTTGGACGTGCGGTATGGGTTGTATTGTACACTTCGCAAAAAGAGGTTCTAAAAAGAACAATGTTCGACTGCAAGGTCTGCTAGTAAACATTTTTAAGCTTAAAGTATCAGAACTCTATTTATTTAAACTAAAAACTCATAATAAAAAACTAAAGTGTCAAAACGAATGACAATGTCAGGAAATAAATAAATAAATGTGGCAACTTGACATTTTTTACAGCAGAGCTGCCACCTGAATCCCCAGCGGGAGATTTAAATTCCAGTTAGTCAGCCCTGCGACGAATATGTTGCCTTGGTTGGCAACAATGAATTTAAAAATTGCCCCTCGATTTAGTAACTAAAAGTTTAATTGGTATCAAATATGTGTACTATACCGGGTGTGTCTCAAAAGTGGCTCACCCCAATAACATTTTTTATTTATTTTTTTTAAATAAAAAACGAGATTTGGTATGTTAGTATATGACATAAATTAGGATTGATTGACGTATTATGGTACGTATACATTGGCGCGCTGGGCCGCGAACGCGCGGCACGCGAGCACCGATTCGCCTGTACTTGTACGTGTTTTCAAGTAGCGCGCGCTCCGCGAGCAAACAGCTAGCGGCGAACCATCTCCAGTCGGTTTTTCGACGCTCCGCTTTGTTTGTTCGTTGTTCAATTGGGACGGCCGGTGAAGACACCGCGCGCATTTATCAGTGACTATGTGTATTTTCTTTGAATATATTCTCTTTTTTGTATTTTTCTTTGAATATTGTTTATTAATGCAGTGTTTAAAGAGTCGCACTACTCATGATTAAAATTGCGTAGTTCTTCTCGGACGATAGATACATGATTAACGACTAGACGAATGTTTGCGGGATTTCTATGAATCTTGGGATGTTCGTTAAAACAATAAAAGTAACGCGCAGGCAACGCACGGCGCGCGCGCTGCGCTTTCGCGGCGCAGCGCACCAATGTATACGTACCATTAGGTTAAGTTATAAAGGTGAGCCACTTTTGAGACGCACCCGGTATACATATTCGGGTTTCTTTAATGATAAAACTGTTGATTTACTTAATTTTGTTAATTGGACACATTAAACTATTTTTAGGTCTCGTATCTCAATTGAATAAAGTTGCCAAGGGATCATTTAAGGCTGAAAAACCGGAACATTTTATACCACACAATGTGAATTTTAAAAACAATGTAATTCTACGTCGGAATTACGTGGATAAGTTGAAAAATTTGTACTTTTCTGGAACCACCGAAGAAGAGGCTGTGATCTCAGTAAGAAATGGTTTGAATTAATATATAAATATTGTAGCTAAGAAACGTAAAGCTTATTTCCTCTATAACGGGTGGTGCATCGTCATTGGAAACATAGAAAATCCCATGCAAATTTTGAATTGTCCATATTGGTTTCTCTGTTAATTTTACAGCGAATTCGTAAATAGGGTTTTTAAAGGTCTGCGTGTGTGTATACACATGCCAAATTAGAATAATTTTGGACAAACCAATGTCAAGTATGTAATTTAAGAAAAACTGCATCTATTTTTAAATTAAATCTGAACAGGTAACAATACAAAACCAGGCAAATGCCAACGTACCTGAAGTTGTCAACCTATAATTTTATCATTGTCAAAATATATAAATACATTAGTATTTACTAAACATTAGGTTTTTGCCGAGGCTTTTGCCTCATTTGAACCAATTTTAAATTACAAAAGTACAGGGTTTTCCATTTTCGTGTGTTTTACGGGGTATCTCGCTTATGTGTAGGTATACAAAGATGCGGTTTTCACATCACTGTGGTACTTTTTTATGATCTGAAGATGCAACATACAGATCTGTCTTAGCCCTCTTAGTTCCTAAAATACAGGGCGAAATTGAAAATGTTGCATTTTTCGACCCCCTTCATATCTTGCTTATCTTATAACTTATCTAAAAGGTGAAAACTGAGCCCAGTAGACATTTTGACATCCATTGGCCTAACTAGTTTTTCGTTTGGAGCTATCATTCTGGAAATATAACCTAAACTTATGTTTTTTGTTTAAATGGGACACCCTGTAAGTATATTTTTTTTTGAATTTGCCTTGTCATGAGCTTTGAAGTACTTTAACATAGTAGTGTAGACAGCACAACAAATTACATTTGACAATGATAAAATCATAGGTTGGCAACTTAAGGAATGTTGCCTCTTCACTTAATTTAAAAATATATGCAGTAATTCTTATGGTACTTAAAGTCAGCAGGTTCAAAATTGTTTAAATTTGGCATGTGTGTTCAGCATGGTAGACCTTTAAAAACCTATTTCCGACTGAGCTGTAAAATTAATAAGGGACCAATATATCGACAGTTTAAAATTTGAATGGGATTTCCTGTTTCCAACGACGATACACACACAGTATACTGTTTACTAGTGTTTACTTACTATAACACGTAAGTATATAAAAGATTTTACATTGTATATCTTGATCTCGATTTTGATATAAAAGTTTCTTTTCAAAAAAAATGTGGCAGAAAAATACTTATAATTTATTGAAATATTATAATATATATTATACAGGATGAGTCTTATATAATCATTATACAGGATGAGTCTTATATAGGTGTAATTTTTAGGGGTGGTATATTTCGACACCAGACAGAGTTTTTCTTTTCGTAAAAAAATGTTGAAAATTTTGTATTTTTATTTTTATTTTTATTTATACATTTTAATGCAAACAAAAAGTCTTTGATAGATGGTTATTATCAATTTTGATTAGCATCATATTTTTTGCTGTTATTAAGGTATCACATTTTCCGATAACTATTATCGCCCTTTCCCTAGCATTGAAATAAATAAATTTTGACTTCTTTAAATTTTTAACATAGCTAAAAATATAACGTTAACTAAAATTATATCAATACCAATCTGTAAATGAATAAAAACAAAATTATATTACCAATTAAATTTTCTCTACAACGCAACGGTCCGGAAATTTTGAAAAGTATAAACAGGATTAACTATTTTAGAACAAGCAATTTTTTTATAAAGGATGCATTTTTCTCAAAATGTTAAAAATAAAAAAGTTTGTCCTCTTGTAAAGATAATCCGGGGAAACATTGTACATCTTGAGTATACGTTTTATATAGTTAAGGTTTATCTGATGGTGATCATTTCTTGAATGTCCCGTGTGTCTCAAAGAAAACAAGTATAATTTTTTTTTATTATATATACAAATGATATTAAATTTTAAAATTGAAATCAAACATTATACTATAGTTCCAAATTCCAAAAAAAATCCTACGTTCTAACTTATGTCTTTATTACTTGCAGATTTTAGGAGACGCCTGGTTTGTAGTTGGAATTATAGGAGCTGTAAAGGGTCACTCTCAAACATCTATGTTACCAATTTACTTATACAAGATGTCTTTGGATACTAAGCTAAATATGTTTAAGACTATGCTAGGCATTAATGATATTCCAGGTAATATTGGTGGTTAGATTAAGAATGTCCCGTTAAATTTGTTTATCTCTATAAATATATATACAGAGTGAGTTTTCTACGATGTTCTCTATCAGTATCTTGGAAACTACTGGTGCTACAGAATCAGTCAAATTGGGAAAGAATTGCAGTTTTGTGAGGTCAAATATATGCGCCTTTCGGATTTTTGACAAAGTTTATTACTTACTAGATATTATATAGCTCCCTAATTCCATTATAATCTATTTTAGATAAAAAATTTTAAATAAAAGTTGAAGATAATCACATCCTTAACGAGACGTTGTTGAGTTTTTTTCTAAAGCCCGATATTCACATATGTCAAAAATGACAGGCTTTAGCTTTTTTATTATCTACAACTTTTATCTGAAGATATTTTGTCTAAAATAGATTATAATGGAATACTTGAATTGGTATGAAGTCAAAGTCTATAAAATAAAAATAAAATCCGTCCCACATATTTCTATAAATGGCAGAACTTGGCTGAGATGGCATTTGCCTCTCCAACATATATTTTATTTTCTCTAATTTTTTCTTAACACATATTCCATTTTAACCTTACAGGATGTGCCCATGCTGATGACATTGGCTATCTGTTCAAAACATTTGTAACTCCACCTATCGAAGCAGACAGCACTGAAGACATCAGTTTGAGGAATGTTCTGAAATTATGGACCAACTTTGCCAAGTATGGCGACCCCACTCCTGACGAAACCGAATTCGGTATTACATGGAAACCGACAAAGGCGCGCCAATTGAATGTTTTGAATATTGGATCAGAGCTAAGTTTGTCGGTAAATCCCGAGAATAAGAGGCTGGAGTTATGGAGAGAGTTGTACAGTCAGTCGCAAGCTACAATAAAATATTTGTAAAATAAAAATCGTCAATAAAAAATAAAATGAACGTTAATATAAATTGAAGTAAATTCTATAATTAAATATCCCCTACATTTTTAATCATATTAGCGAATCTTAACAACTATTAGTAAAAATCTACATACTTCTCTCTAAATTAAAAATGAAAGATCCTATCAGTCAATTATACGAGGGAAAACAAAATGTAGATCTTCTACTTCCTTCTTCATACTAGGCGAATCGCCTGTTTGGTTTCGTCGTCTCTACCGGTCAAACTGACAAGTTGTCGCTCCATCGTTTTCGTTAACGGCCTAAGCTTCTGCGACCTAGTGCAACGCTCACTATCCTTCTGTTGTCTATTCAGCTGATATGCTCGTTCCATTCTTCCTTTCTGCTGAGTACCCACTCATTTACATTTTTCACCTTGCATGCTCTTCTTATGCTTTCATTTCTCTCCCTGTCCAAAAGCGTCTTTCCAGCTGTTCTGGGTAGTACTCTCATTTCGGTTGTAGTCTCAATAGTTGTTTAGTTTTCGCTGTATCAGGTCGAGTTTCTGCAGTGTATGTCATTATTGGTCGTACCGTTGTTGCCTTGTAAATTCTCGCTTTAGTTTCCACCTCAATGTTTTTATTTCACCATATTGTGTCATTCAGGCATCCTGCTATTGTGGTTGCCTTCGTTGTCCGTTCTCGCACCTCCGCCTCTACATCACCATATCCTGAGATTTCTATGCCTAGATACTTGAACTTCATTTCTTGCTGGATAACATTGTCCTTGACTTCCAGTTTGCATCTTAGTGGTACTTTTGATGTCATCATGCATTTAGTTTTCTGTGTCGAAATTCTCATATTAAGTGATTTGGCAACGCAGTTAAATCGATGTAATAAACGCTGCAGATCGTCCTCATTTTCGGCTATCAATACGGCGTCGTCGGCGTACCACAGAATAGTAATTTCTTGGTCGCCCTGTATCCCTTCAGTAAACGTACATTTCCTATTGTAAAATGTAGATATTTTGGTGAAAATTTGAAACACCCTGTGGAATATATTGAGTGTGCAAGGAATTTAAAAATAGTTTTAACATCTAGATACATCCATTTTCAATAGTTTGATTTTTAGTTTATCTCAAAGGATATATTTTTGTTGGAGATGTTCGCTTTTGAAGAAGATACTTTTCTCGTAATTTTACATTTAAAATCATGCCTTTGTTTTGGTCTAGTCAACGAATTAGTAAGTTGTAAGTTGTAGTCTCGAAGCAGGCCTCCTTGACATAAGGTTTGCTTCGTTTAATCTTCTTCTTTACAGTCCGTTCACTTACATGTACGTTCCTCAGGCGCAATTCAACATAAATTTGAAAAGCCGACAAACGGCGATTTCCTAGCGATAAACTTACAATAAGTCAGTCGTCTATTCGAGATCCCCATACGGAGGTTTCTGGACGTCTAGCATATGAATTTGTCTCGAGAAAGTAACTGCACTGTATTTCGGAGCTAGATTGACTGCCCAACAGGCTGATTTTTCAATAACAGTGACATTAAATCAATCCTAACTACTATACTTCCTAGGTCTGTTGACACGGACCAAAAACAAAACATCGTCTTAATGTATACGAAAAAATGTTAGTGTCTTTTTAAAAGCGAATATCTTTAAAAAATAAAGCTATTGAGATGAACTAAAACACAAATTTCGAGAAAAGATGCACCTAGATGATAAAAATGATTCTCAAATTCCTTGTTTTTTTAACTTATTCCACTGAGTATTCCAAAACTATCACAAAAATAACAACATTTTTGTTCCTTAAGTAGAAGTTAGGTAAATGAACTTTTTAATTCAAAAGAGATACTATAAAGTCAAATAATTTGACTACAAATTGCTTAAAAATCTTCAAAATCGGTCCACCAGGACACAATACATAAAACTTTAAAATATATCCAGAATTTTAAGGTGCCGTTCTTCGTGGTGGAAGTAGATTATATGCAGATTGTGAAACAAAGTCAAGCAATCTCTATTCATAACACTATATTCTAGTGACCATAACACCAATATAGAAAATTTTAATATCTTTGTAGCGTAAGACGCACATCTACGGGGATAAAAGCATCAAATACAATTAATTCATTTCATAAAAAAAATTATAAACATGTTAATCATCACACAATTCAACCTAATACGTAAAGACTCTTTAGAAATAAATGAACGAATTTACTTTCAAACATTTTCTATGTCATTCATTTCCAGGTATCTCCCCAGCGAATACAACCGCTATCAGATGCATTTCCGCTATTTATCAGCGCAGCTTTGTATAATAGAGTTGTTTTTTAGAGCCGACTGCATCAGTTACAGCCACATATACTGTAATCCGACAATGTCATCCGGCTGCTGTTTTGTAACAAATGCCCCGTGCCGAATTTATTATTCGCAATCCGTTATTGATTGCCGTTTGAAATTGAACTGGCTCGGATTTACAGCGAGATGCGTCTTAAACGGATTTGAATTTAGGTTCGACAGCAGGAGTTTGGCAGGGATCGTTTCGTTTGGGTCGCAGAAATTTATGCATGGATAAAATGAATAGTCGATTTATTATGTTTTAAAGTTCAAGTTATATTAATTAGTCTAATCGACGTGGAGAAAGATATACCCTGAAACGTTGGAGGAGAGGGTGGTAATATGGATACTATATTATGAAGAAACCCTCTCCCAAGTAGCACATTTCGACGCACAAAATCGAAACAAAATCTCGACTGAGAAACATTGCGAAACAGTTTCGTCACATTTTTGATACATATGTTTCGTAACATATAATAAATCGCTTTTGTTTGAAAATATTTTTTACCAAAAATATGGTTTCGCTACATGAGCTAAAACAATAAAGAGTCTTAGTGACAAATTTCTTCGAATCTTTTAAGAAACAGATGTGGCTCACATTTACAAAAGTTTCGTACCCGTTTTGTGCCTCAAAAGTTCTCATAATTTATTTAATATTCTGTCAAATACGAGAACATAACCTTACTTTAATTGTTTTGATTTTGTTCTGCAGTTTTTAGATTTAAGTATTCTTCAAATTTTGTAGTACTATAATTAAAAAAAAGCAGAAGGAAGGACATATTATGGTGAGTACAAGCTGGAGATATTTTTCTTATGCGATTTTATAATTATTTATTATACGCGTTACAGAGATGATTTGTTTAGGAATAAATGTAATAACAGCCACTACTCATACCCAACAGGAAACCGAAGGAAAATGTTGCCAGCAAACGTTTTTTCTGCTTTTTCCACAATGGAATACATGTTTTTATGTTTAATTTGTAAATATTATAATAAGTAAATAAAAATATTTTAATTGTTTTGACCAGAAGTTTTTGAGAAGTGACTGATTCGAAATTTCTACACAGATAGCTAAATCAAAACATTTTGGAAACAAGGTTTCCATTTGTTGTCGATTCATTTTCGAAACACAAGTTTTTCTCTTTTAGACACAAATATGATAAACTCGCCAGCAAAATTAACGCATAATCGTATATTAAGTCTTATAAGTTTTATTGTCTGTATTTTAGATCAGTTATATTGGCCTAAAATTACTTCTGTTTATTATTTCTTGCTGAAGCGATCCTTTTTTTCATGACCGATAAGAATTTATCAATAGTTTTTATAAATTCCCAAAACAGGTATATTCGCTGAAATGCTCGAAGTCGTTTATTTTAAGATCATTTTATTTGAGTGCGCGGCTGTTGTCTGTTAAACACTTAAATCAGTAAAATGAACCTTAACGTACGTCAAAATCGCAATCTCACCTCCGAAGAGTGTGCTATAGTTATTGCATTATTTGAAGAAGGCTTGTCTCAGGTACAAGTAGCGGAAAGATTTCATGTTGGACAATCAACGATCTCGAAGCAATAAGAAGATTCCAGGACACTGGATATGACCAGAGAAGACCAGGCCAAGGCCGTGGTTGAATAACCTATGCCCATCAGGATCGATTTTTGAGACTTCAGGCTCTGCGAGAAAGGTTTGTGACAGCTACATTGCTCCGCCAGAATTTTATAAGGCGAATAACCAACAAATAAGCAGCGATACGATAAGAAGACGTCTTAGGGAGGATAATCTGAGACCCAAAATGGCTGCAACTGGACCACCGTTGTCCCCAGAGCACCGAAGAGTCCGATTGGCTTTTGCTAGAGAGCATGTAAATTGGGAAAACCATCAATGGTCGAACGTATTGTTCACAGATGAGTTTAGGTTTTGCCTATATGGCAACCATCGTCGTATTCCAGTATACAGAAGGCCGGGCGAACGATTTGCGCAATGCTGTATTATACAACCAAAACATGCTTATGGTGGTGGGTCGGTTATGGTATGGGGCGGCATTAATATGGAAGCTCGAACAGAACTGGTGATCATTCAGAGAGGCCGTCTCACTGCTCACAGGTACATTGTAGACATTTTGGAGTCTCAAGTGGTACCTTTTGCTCCCTCTATAGGGCACAATTTTCTCTTTATGCACGATAACGCCAGGCCACATATTGCCAGAGTTGTCCACAATTACTTGGAGGAGGTCCAATTCAAGACGATGGATTTTCCAGCGCATAGCCCAGACCTCAATCCCATCGAACCTATCTGGCACATGATGGATAGGCGTCTTCGAGCTCTACAAAATCCACCCAACAATTTAAATGAGTTATCGCTAAGACTAGAGGAAGTATGGGACGCTATCGAGCAAGATGAAATAAGGAATGAGGTTCTCAGCATGTCCAGACGTTGCCAGGCCGTAATCCGTGCCAAGGGAGGCAACACTCGTTATTAAACCGGGCCTTCTGATTATTTTTTGTAATGCTTTTGTACTGCGTTTTGCACATTATTCTTAGAACCACTGTATCTTCTTGTTTAGCTAGTTAATAAAATTTCTTTGAAATTTATTATTTTGGTAACGAGTTGTCTGACAAATATATAGTAATTTTACTTTTGAATTTGTTTAGTTTTTCCATAAAAAAATCAAATTATGCGTTAATTTTGCTGGCGCGTTTATAATGTAGATGAGTTGTGTCCGACTCCTGTCAATTTTATAA